TGAATATACAGTAGTATTTGTTGAGTTACAACTTAAAATAAGAGCTAAACTGTTATGATAAGTATATCATATGCATTGCTGATACTAGCTAGTTTATCTGCTATTTATGTCTAAAATGGGGAATGGAGAAAAGAAAAATGCAATTGCTACTTAACGCCTACCAATACATAGTTGAAGTGATGCATTAAATTGATATCCAGTTGAGCAGTTGCAAGTATAAGAGCCTACTGTATTGATACATTGCTGATTTCCAACACAAGAGTAATCTTGAGGGTTATTACATTCGTTATAATCTGAAATAAAATGTGATATTAGATTTTATCATAATACGATTAATATTGTAGCCCATAGTAATTATGATTTATTTTAAAATAAAGGGCAAAATTGTAATAAATTTGCTCCAAAAATTAAATTATTTACATTTAACAGGATTTCAATTCTAATTATATTTAACGCTTACGTTCTACATCATTATTTACTGTATGAGTAAAGATTGAATGATATTTTGTAAGCTTATAAGCTGAAAGTAACTGTGGTATCTTAATTTACCAGTGACATTAACACTTTGCACTACATAGCTGCTAATAGCTCCTGTCTGGATAATATTCTTCAACAAGGCTGTTCCTTGAGTGTAATTCTTTAAGACTGTAAGGATACAGTCAACAACAATACCGCCTAGCCTAGATATAGATATAATTTATACTTACTTATTTTAATACTGTAATAAATCTTAATGAATTAAAAAAATAATAGTGGAATACACAGATTAAAGTTTTATTTAAAATGCCATTCTTTTATATAATTTAAATTAGATATTTAAATTTAATAGATTTACCTAAGATTAGTAAGATTAGTAATAGTAACGACTTTGACTTCGTTCGAGGTTCGTGAATCGTTTTGATATGCTGATGAAATCTATAACATTAAGTCATTTAAATTAGTGATATTGATAGTATTTACATCGTATATAGTATTTTAATTAATTGATGCTATCTTGATAAGATTTATGCTTAAATACTGTTTATAAAATATATATCATCTCATATGTAGAAAAGAATTGGGTGATGCTACCAACATTGAATGTGAT